AAAAACAAATGTGAAAAAACAAAAATCAGCTACAAACCAACAGAACAAAAGAAACTTATAAAACATTGGAATTTGATATAAGTTTTTAAAGAATCATTGAATAATATTTAAAGAATCATTGTATAATTTTTAAAGAATCATTGTATAATGTTTAAAGAATCATTGAAAATATTTTGATTAGGAGATTTTTAAAAATGTGTTCCTTCATTTGGATCTACACAATTTTATTTATATAAAAAAAAATTATTCTAAGTCCCAATTTGTGAATTTTTTATTTTATATTCAAAATATTGAGGACTTGTATCATGGAGGCCAACTTAAATTCTTCAATTTAAAATGTTCTTCTATTTTTTTTTTAAATAAAGAAATCTCTACTTGGTACATTGTTAAGTTGAACTTTTTTTTAAAACTTAAATATTGAGAACAAGTTTTCAATTATAAGTAGGTAGATGTAAGAGTATTCTTGTAAAATTTTAACACATTTTACTTTCAGAATTTGAAAAGTTCACATCAGTTAGCTCAACAATACATACAACACCAGCCACTTTGTCCGATACCACAACAACAACTCATGCAACGACAGAGGGATCAACAGTAACTCAGTCAATTACCACAATCTCTACTATAATTAGCCATGAGAACTCCACAGATATGATAAGTTCAGATGGCAATGTTAATGTTACACATGTACCTACCACACCTTCCCACAATGTGACATTTGACACTTCTTTGTCACCTGAGAATGTAACTTCCAGTACGAATTTAGCAAGCACTACTGCTATACCTGAAAATGTGACACATGGAAGCACTACAAACTTTTACGTCAACACAACAGATCTGATGGATAACACAAATGGAAATGTGACAGACTACACAATCGTTTTCTCAACAGAAAATGTGACACATCCTACAACCACACCAACTTATTTTAATTTTTCGGACTTCTCCACAACATCCGCTGAAAATAGCACCAGCAGCTTTGAAATTAACTCAACTACAACATTACTATCTACCACACCAGTAACCACACCAACAAGGGATTTAAAAACGTTTGCCATTAAGCTGAGAATCACTTCCCTTGAATGGAAGAATGATTATAACAACAATACATCTACTGCTTACATAGACCTTAAAGATAACCTCACAAAATGGGTATGTTTTTGTTTAAAATCTAAAAATGTCTACTGCTTACATTATAATCCTTAAAGATAAAACATGACAACATGGGTATGTCTATCATTATTTTTTTCTTAAAATTAGATATAATTTTAAAATATTTAGTCCATTAAAAAAAAAAAGCGGTTTGTTTAGTTTAGAAACCATAAGATGATTTGTAATGATCAAATTGATTTGAACAAAATTGTTCATTTCATAAATACACAAGTATGATAAATAAGAATGTAACAAAACTTTAAAATTGTAATTTAACTTTGTACTTACAGCTAAATGACACTTTCTCCAACTTCACATCTTATGAGGGCTCTGATGTAACAAGTTTCAGGTAGTGTATTAAATAGTGCTTAAAAATACCAACTTTGATTTCAGACACATTTTTAAATAAACTTTTGTAAAAAGATGCCGTGTTATATATATATATATTTGTACTAGTACTAATTTTGTATTTTCTTTGTCATCTAGAATATTTTAAGAATATAACTTACAAAATTATTCAGAAGGAGGGAAGATATATGTTTCTTAATTTATAAACATAACTATTAATCTGTCAATGTTATTCGCCAACTTGACTTCATATATTCATTATTGTTGTTCTCTGCAGTCAAGGCAGTGTGGTGGCAAACATTGAGTCAAGTTTCTCTGACCCTAGTGTGACAGAACAGCAAGTCCTGGATGCTTTAAGAGGAGCCACAGTATTTCCATTCGGGATAATCGATAATGGAAATTTAACAGTACAAGGTAGTTATTCATCCAAGATTGTGCTCAATATATTGTTACTTTTAAAATAATAAGAAACATGTAATCAAAAAAACACCATTTAAATCACTTAAACCTAATAGAAATCATTAAAAAGGGAATAATTGCAGAATTTAATAAGGGTATTAAGGGGAGAGATTGCAATCAAGTCATCAAAATATAAAATGAGTAAAACAAAGTAGGGTTAAACATGAAAAAAAAGGAACGCAACAGAACGACGAACGTGTCGGCAGGAAGCCTTCATCAGCGAACAAAACAACAGAAAAAACAGAATAAAATTAAAAAATAGCACTTAGCTTAAAAGTAGTGTCAGTGAGCAGGAATCTAATTACTTTAGGAAATGTAAACTTTTATAAAAAAAAATGATTTTTGGATGGGTTTTATCTACAAAACTCATTCTCTCTATGCAGGTTTCATTGGAATATCGATTTATTTTAAGACATACAAAAAAATGTTAAGCTCAACTCAATATTTTATTTTTACAACATTTAAAAATACAAATATTTTAAGTACCGGTAGTAGCATTTTTGCTATTGCTAAAATCTTTTACTTTTCAAAACATTTGCCCACAGAATTGTCATTTATTTATAGAATTTAAAAAAATAAGTATTGTTACGTATGATTAACAACTTTTACCATATATATACTTTTTCAGAATTTCTACCATCCTCAACAGTTAGTTCAACAATACATACAACACCAACTATTTTGTCTGATGCCACAACAACCACAACACATGTAACGACAGAAGGATCAACAGTAACACAGTCAATTACCACAACCTCTACTATGATTAGCCATGAGAACTCCACAGATATGACAAGTTCAGTTGGCAATTTTACACATGTACCTACCACACTTCCCCACAATGTGACATTTGACACTTCTATGTCACCTGAGAATGTAACTACCCGTATGAATTTAACCATCACTACTGCTATACCTGAAAATGTGACACATGGAAGCACTACAACCTTTTATGTCAACACAACAGATCTGATAAATAATACTACTGAAAATTTGACAGATCACACAACTGGAATTGTGACAGATTACACAATTACATTGTCAACTGAAAATGTTACCATGGTGATGAACACAACCTATGCCGACAATGCAACAACACCACACACTCCCTCATATGACAATGTCACTGAATACAACACAACATCTTTTGAAAGTAACACAACAGACTCCACACCACATTTCATGACAACCACACCCTCTCTGGTCTCCACAACTCCAAATGGCCCCAAGATTTTCCTCATCAAGTTGAGAATAACTGGCATCAACTGGACTGATGAGTACAACACTAACACATCTGATTCTTTTCTGACTCTTAGGGACAATTTCACCTCATGGGTAAGCATTCAATGTTAATGTGGAAGATTTTTCTTCCAAAGAATGTTAACATGGATGATTCTCCTTTCATTTAATGATCATGTGGATGATTGTTCTTGAAATGAATTTAATTGTGGATAATTGTTTTTGCAACAAATGTTAATGGCGATGATTATTCTTGTCACAGAAAATTACATAAATTTTGAAAGTGTATTTATTCTCTGAGAAAAGTTTAAAACATTGGTGCTACAAAGTTTAGAGCATAATTTGTCATTGACTTGTACATTGACTTGTAGATTGACTTGTACATTGACTTGTACATTGACTTGTAGATTTAATCCTTAGAATGCTGTGGCTCACTTTCTGGGTATTTTTAAATGATCTTTCCAATAATTTCTTTAGCTACAACTTGCTTTGAAAAACCTCTCATCATATGAAGGATCAAATATTACCACATTGAGGTCTGTAAATTATTTTATCAACAATCATTTAAAAGTGAAATGTAAATATTTCTTTAAATTTTAATTTTTTCATAGAAATAAATCCACATTGATTGCAACCCCAGTAATCATATTTCCCACCAGTTTTCTTCACATTTCCCACCAATTTTCACCAGTCTTTTTAAAATTGTTTCACTCTATAGACCTGGCAGTGTTATAGTTTTATTTACATCAAGTTTCTCTGACCCCCTGGTTACCAAAGAAGAAGTTTTAAATGCTCTTAAATCAGCCCCAGAATTCACTCTTGGGTCTGTGGATTACAACAGCATTAGCATTGAAGGTAAACTCTCTCATAAACAAAGCAAATGGTTCTTTGTAACATTCCCTGAGTCCTTTCTAGCAAATAGATGATTCAAATTCTTTATTTATTTGGCTATAAATTTAAAAGGTATACATAGTTAAATCAACTTTAATTGTTTTCAATAATTAGTATAGGTTGGAATAGAATAATTAAATGGGACTTCCCAAATGTAAGTAGTTTATTATCACTTCAGTCTCTTGTAACTATCAGGATTTTATAGAGGAAAAAGCACTAAAATTCCTATTAAATAATAACCTACACATCTTTTTTATTGATAAAATATAGAAAATTAATATTTAAGATATTTCAATTCAAACATATCAGATCCATCATCTGTGACAACTCCTGTAAGTGTGACAACTCCAGTAAGTGTGACAACTCCAGTAAGTGTGACAACATCCACAGCCACCTCTGAGCCAACGACCAAGTCAACAACCATTGCAACCATCACAACAGAGACTGTTTCTAATGAAACCCCCACCACTGAAATGATCCATAACTACACCACATCACCAACTTCAAATGGAACAGTTCCAATCCCTTATCAAACACAATCAACTACCAGTTGGACTGACAGCACTGCTAATACTACACATCCACTGTTGGTTACCACCACTGGACCAACAAGCAATACAACAGAAAAATTATTGAACACAACAGAAATTTATATCAGTACCACAACAGAAAATGTTACAGAAACAACAGTCAATTCAACTTATTTCTATACCACGCCATTGCCAGAGCATGTAACTGAAACAACTATGAATGTTACAGAATCCACAGTCAATGTTACAGAATCAAATGTCAATGTTACAGAATCCACAGTCAATGTTACAGAATCCACAGTCAATGTTACAGAATCCACAGTCAATGTTACAGAATCCACAGTCAATGTTACAGAATCCACAGTCAATGTTACAGAATCCACAGTCAATGTTACAGAATCCACAGTCAATGTTACAGAATCCACAGTCAATGTTACAGAATCCACAGTCAATGTTACAGAATCAACATTCAGTTCAACTGATTTCTCAACCAGTCCATTCCCAGAAAATGTCACACAATCAACAAATAACTTGACAGACTCCACCATCAGCACGACCAAACCAACTAGAGACACAAGTGTGACCACAGCTGTAATGACATCTACAGCCTCGCCAACCTTGCCAATCTCCTCAACTGTAACTATTCAGGGGCAGATAGTTATAACCAATGGGACTGAATGGAATGACAACTTGGGTGACCCGAATAGCACAGCAGCAATACAACTGAAGGAGGACCTTGTAAAAGAGGTAAAACTTTGAGTAAATAAAATTGAATCAATAAATTGACTTAGGTTTCAGGGGGATACTTTTCAATCAATAGGTTGCATTTTAAATCAATCTCAGTTCATTGATAAATTAAATATCTGTGTAAAAGAAAAATCTTTTAAAGTAATGAGAATTTAATGTTAGAAAATTGTATGTCAATGCCAATTTATAATAATAATTTTCTTTAGATTCTAAGCTAAAAGTATAGGGCCTACATTGAAAATAATAGCAGTAGACAAAATATCAGCCTATTGAGCATTTGTGTATAATGAAGACTAAGAGATTACCCTGCTGCCATTTATAGGTGTATACAACTCACATCAGTCTTATTTCCATCATTAAATACAATTTTTTTCTTTAAACTCAATCACTGAGTCATCTTATTTATTGAAAACAGCAATTTGTCTATCACAAGACAAATTGACATTTTCAGCGATTTTTTGAATGTTTGCAAAAAACAAAACCTTGCAAGTTAAGAACAAAGTATATCTTATGAGTATTTTAATTGAAAAACATACTTTGCTCACAAGGGAAAAAAAACTTTTTATATAAATAATTATTTATAAATAATTGAAACTTCCTATTTATTTATCAAAGCGATTAACTTTAATTATCACTTTTTTTGTTTGATACATGTCATAAAGTAGAAACATTATAGAAAAATTGTCATCTAATGCTAATCTAATAATAATATACCAACAAACATATAATAAAATACTTGATTGACTTATGTGGAACCTTATGAAGAAACTTCAATTTGTTTATATCAACTGCAGTTCTACTTTTACATTTATATTTGATCTTCAGCTTAGTAATCTGTATCAAACAATTCCTGGATTCCAAAAAGTGGACAACATTTTATTCAGGTAAGTGGACATCATTTAATTCAGGTAAGTGTATATCATTTCATTCAGGTAAGTGGACATCATTTCATTCAGGTAAGTGGTCATCATTTCATTCAGGTAAGTGGTCATCATTTCATTCAGGTAAGTGGACATCATTTCATTCAGGTAAGTGGTCATCATTTCATTCAGGTAAGTGGTCATCATTTCATTCAGGTAAGTGGACATCATTTCATTCAGGTAAGTGGACATCATTTCATTCAGGTAAGTGATTATTTTTCCATTAAACATTTTTCTTATTTAATATAGAAAAGTTTGTCATCTTGCATGCAAGATAAGCGGATGCATTATTTATTATGGTTAACAAGATACATTTTTTTATTATAGTTAACAAGATACATTTTTTCCATGAAAAGTCAAATAACAAATAAGAAAAAACTATCAAAGGAGAAACATGGAAAGATAATCCATTTTTTGCTTATTAACAAAACATTCATTTAATTAACAGAGGTTTAACAAATTTAATATTGACAATTTCCTCTAATTTAGTGCCCCCTATAATATTTATTTATGAAGAGAAGATTGAGTTTAAGTCATTTTTGCTTTAATTTTAATCCTGAATATATGTATATATGTATATTTATTTTGTCTCTTATTTATATCTCAAAGATTATTTAACAATTTTTCTTTCAGTAAGGGCAGTGTCAAGGTACTGTATCATGTTGTTTTTACCAACATAAACATCACTGTAGAGCATGTGGAAGACAAAGTAAAGGAGTATCTTAGGGCCAGCAACTCCACACTGGGAATCTATACCATTGACATTAATCAGATTAAACATGAAGGTAAGTCTAAACCAGGGAAGATCTTTGGTTAAGTATCATGTAATGCTTGACTTCATTGCGGCACTTATATATTAATACTATCACACATTTTATAAATGTAATGACTTTACATCAGCCAAACTGAAAATCACCTTTTTAACTGAATTTTATATTAAATTTATGTGCAAACACAATAAAAAATCATTTTTTTGTTTTAAAGTGTAATTTTTGCCAAAGTCATTCTGCTATCATAATTTTCCTCCAAAATTCGATCATGTGTTTAATTTCTATGAGCAATATATTTTATCATTTGAAAAATTTTAAACAGACTGTTATTTAATATACTGCTGAATTATAAGGAGAACAATAAGTAATTTTTAATCCTTTTGCCTTGTTAGATATAAGGGCAACACAATTGGGTGTTGCCAATTTAAACAATATACTGTTTTAAAAGAAAATTCACTGCACTGGAAACATATCCATTGAAAACATACGGATTTGAAACATATGGATTGAAAATATATGGACTGGAAACATAAGGATTGAAAACATATTATGGAATGAAAACATAAAACTTAATTATTAAAAGGCTTAGCTAGAAAAATGTAGAGTAATTTAATTTGTTTTTAATGTGACTTTTAACATTCTTCAGAAGTAAAAGTTGATAAGACAGACATTGAGGAAAAGTTCCCAGACTGGGCTATTGCTGTCATAGTATGTGGAGGATGTCTTCTCATATTTGTTCTGTTCTTGATAATAATACTGGTAAGTCAGACATTTGTTTCATTTCTATTTGATACATTCTATTAGGAGAGCCCTTTGGTCCTTATATTAATGTGTATTTAAAAACCTTTGCCAAAGTTGGCAAAGACCTTGCCTTACATATTTTTCTAAAATATTCAAAATATAGCAGAAGTTTTGTTTCCAAAAATTGCACTATAAAACATTTATGGCTGAAGCAATCTGTTGAGCATTTTAATTCCCTTTAATATAACAAAAAATTATGGTTTGATCAATGTCCAAATCTTACAAAAACTAGGATTTGTTATTAACATTTCTACACACATGTATAATGCACTACCATGTACTATTATGTACTTGTGAATTGTAACCCCAATCATATTTTAAAATTAACTTTTTTTAATGCTGTAATACTTATTTAAATGGTCCCACATTTTTGCAAATTTACCCCTGAAAAATATATAAATTATTAAAAATCCGTTAACATCAGATTCAAGATTAACTTATCTTTAGTTTGCCACCATTTGATTTGTCATCCAGACAAGTGGTGTCATCCAAACTAGTGTGTCATCCAGACTAGTGGTGTCATCCAGACTATTTCTTTCTCTTTTCCTGGAGCATAAACTGTTACCCACACAAGTGGTTTTTCTCTACATGGAGTATAAACTGTCACCCATACTAGCGTTTTTCTTTATCTGGAAATTAATTATGGGTCTGCTATCTTAAATTTATTATTTAAAAAATGTCCAATATAAACCTAAGTTATCTCTCTTTGTGACAGTGCTGCAGACGCACAACAAATAAAAAGTACACCATTAAAGATGACCCTGAAGATTTTCAGTACAGGCGAAGTTGGGCTTCACAAGACACGAGTTCAGTTCCGAGCCAGAAGGATGATATCTATGACAATGCAGGGATGGACCACTACAAACAGCCCCACAGGGGCCAAGATGGAAGGGGAATAGCATTGGAAGATTCTAATCCCAGTAGCAATAACTCTGGAAATGTATACCACAATGCGAAAATCGGTCAAGTCAATTATGCATATAGCGATCCAGTAAGTATGATCCATGAACTCTGTCAGGCTCTAGCTAAAGAGTTCAAGATTTTATACATTTAACTATTTTAGTTCTGATATAAGACTTTACATTTGTTTTTAAAATGAAGAACGGGAGTACTTGATGATATTCTTAAATAGAAGGGAATTTTTGTTCCAAAATATGTGAATTATTTTTCCATTATTCGAAACTCTGCAAATTTTGATCTGATAATCTGTTTCCATTAAGTGCTAAAGAGAATTTTGAGTGGCAAAGAGAATGTTGAGTGGTAAAGAGGATGTAGAGTGGTTAACAGGATGTTGAGTGGTAAAGAGGATGTAGAGTGGTAAAGAAAATGGGTATTTTAAACGGGAAGAAAACAAATCAATCTAATCTTTTCATTTTTTAAAATGTTTTATAATTATTCAACATTTTACTGGTTTATTTTTTCTGTATCATTTTTTACACAATCAGTTGTAAAGTATTTAAAAGTTTTCTTTCAAAAAATTATTGACCCCACCAATACTTTAATGCAAATATTGTTGACATGTAAGCAATGATAACTATCTGCAACAGGTGACTTCATTGTAAAGAATCATTTGTGATTTGGGAAATTAAGATTTTTAAATATCGTAAGTATCAGGCAGTTTTGAACTAACACATAATAGGAAATATTAATACTCTGCTAGATAAGGACAGAGAAAAGAAGCTTATAGTTTAACTCTGCTACATTGCGCTTTACTCTATAACTATAATGACCAATTCCTGTAGAGGTGTTAGAAATATATTCATGTGCCAGCTTGTAATTGTTGTACTTGGATTGGTTGGATAAAAAAGGAAATTTATTCTAAATGTTTGATATTTAGGCATACATCTGTGTCTAATATGTGTTGTAAGGAGCATTTCCTGGTACAAGACTTAATCAATGAACAATGTCATCTCACATGACATTTAAATGCTATAAATAAAAAAAGAGACCATTTCAATTTTTAAAGCCAGTTATAATGATTCAAAGCAGTGCTATAGTCATTGCATTAGTATATATCTTTTTATTGAGCAATACTATAGCTAGTGCATTAGTAAATATCTTTATATTGAGCAATACTATAGTCATTGAATTAAAATATATCTTTTTATTGAGCAAAACTATAGATATTGCATTAGTATATATGTTTTTATTGAGCAGTATTATAGCCATTTTAAGATGGATTTATTAGTTTTTTAAGAATGAATATTTTTTTTTAAAAATTGTTTTCCAATGAGATATTTTAATTACCGGTATCACAATTCCCAAGTAACACAAAAAAAATAATTTTCATCCAGGCAGCAATGTTTTAATCTTCTATCATAAAAGAGAGTATTTCTGGCCCTCACCATTCAAGTTCTTAAAAAGAAATATTGGACCTATTGGTCAGGAGAAAAATTTTAAAAATAAATGTTTTTTAATATTATTTTATAGACTTTATGTTATCTTGTAAATTTAATGCCCAAGAAAATTATTCTACAAAGATTTTTATTTAAAAATGTCAGATACATCAGTGAACAATTGTAGGTCATGGTTGTTATAAAAAAACCTCAAACTTTTAGAAGCTTTATTGTTTTGGACAAAAAAATAAACTATTTAATTCTATAAATACGGTTGTCAAAAAAAATATCCCAGTGTGAGTGCTCTAACATGACACGCCTTTTAAAAATATTTCACACAACTTTCTCTAATAAAATATATTCAGTAAATATTAAGACCAGTATGTTTTGAAAGTCTTTTTAAGTCTTTTCTAAATTTATTTTTAATTTAAGCACATCCCAGTTTTCCTTCTCACCACCAAAACTCACTACTAATAAAAATGCTTGATAAATTTGTATTAGTTTTAATGAAGCAATCCTATAACATTTCATTAAACAAATCTAAGTTAAAATTAACTTTCAAATCCTCATCTATTATCTATCTTTAAATATAAATAGATGTAAATAACATTGCAGATTCTCTCGTTTAATAGTAAGTTTTAGTTTGCTAGATATGTGGCAGAATTTGCCCTATTTATGGAAATAATATATATATATATTTTTTGAAACTTGAACGAAAAATGAACTATTTTATTTTTCTTTATCCATGTTATCATCAGTTGATAATTGAGTTATTCTTAATCCATGTTATCATCCATTGATAATTAAGTTATTTAAATTGACAATTAGCAGTACAATTTTAAGCTCCTAATTCATCCTAACACCACATCATCAAAGACTTGTCACCCATCCGTGATTGTCATCTATCACTGACATGTGACCTACCACTCACTTATCACCTATTACTGACTAGTCATCTATCACTGACATGTGAATATAAAGATAACAAGCTATTTTTTTAACATCCTAAATTTCTGCATTTATTTCATTTTAGGTTTACAATGGCTATGAAACAGTGAATCTGAATGGACATTCTCCTGATGTTGGGCAGCATGCCAATGGTGACTCCACAAAGTCCATTGTGTACAAAGACCAAGACACAACAACTTTCTATGACATCTGCAATGAAGCCTGGGAGACTCGCCTTTAAGAAAACACCATAGTTTGATCAATATGTGAGACTAGACAACCCAAAGTATTTGTGTATATTCCGCTATGCAAACTAAAGAATTAACAAAACAAAAACTTAAACATAATACCATTTCGTTTATGTCATATTATCTTTATGTTATGTTCTTGAATGTCTGACTGACTAACCTATGCATATAATGAGTGATATCATTTTCAGAAAAAAATTCAATGTGTTTAAGAACAAAAATGATATTATTAAATGTGCCGAGCTTTTTTAAAAAAAAAATGTTTAATATTAAACTGTACATAATATTTTTAAAAATTAATTATTTATTGCAGATACTGTTGAAATAAAGATTAATTATAATTTTTTTCATATTACCCATTTTAAAAAATTGATTTGTGTCACAGATTTTAGTAACCATCAAATCTAATGAATAAATATTTGATGGTAAAAGATTTATGAATATTTAATAATTCCCATAAGTAATTAAAACAAAGCAGCAAATAATTAAAGGCTCTGCATGAGGCACAAGGGGATTAAGCAGCTTAGATTATGTGTACACACTTTTATGGCATTTAAAATTTTCAATGTTTTTTTTCTTTTTGCATCTAAAATAAAAAGATAATTCATTTTGCTCATTTTTATTGTAAAACATCAAGATACTCTAAAAGAATGAAATGCTTTGTAAATTTAAAAAAATTAATCCTAGGGAAATAAAAGTTGATTTGAAAAAAATTTTTTTTTTTTTTTTCAAATTTATATTTTTAATACCTGTAATAATAGTCATAACAATTATTATAGTTAAAAGCCAATGGCAGAAAACAAAACCATTCATTAAGTTTTCATGTTTTAACTTTTAATCAAAATAAACCGTTTTGAATATTCAGATAATTGTTAAAAAAAATCTTATTTCATCAAATGTAAGTTATTTTGTTTGTTATATATTTAATTTTAGTTATGTTAAAATCAAAACCTATGAATGATATAATTTTTAATTGCCTCTTTTTATGAGTTTCAGAAAATTTTGGTGTCCAATTCTGAAAATGTATTCAAAATAATTCTTAATTATATTTTGGAAAAAAAAAGTATTATTTATTTATCCTTTGTATAAAATACTTTTATCAATATGAAATGGTAAATCTTGTTTAAATATAAATATCTTGCCAGTAAAGCGTAAAATAATACTATTTATTCAGACAATTATATATAAGAAAATGTTTTTTTTTTAAATATTCATTTATATTACTTGGATCAAAATATCATTTATAATGTAGAATAAGGCCAATGTTGATACAAAGATTTCTTTCTTTCATCATGTGCATTAAATTACTCTTGGCATCCCATGTTTAAATATATATATATATATATATATATATATATATATATATATATATATATATATATATATATGTGTGTATTTTTATAAAAATATGTATATATTTATATATATATATATATATATATATATATATATATATATATATATATATATATATATATATTTGTGTGAAATGTTATAACAAAAGGTGTTTATAGTTCTGAATTAGTATTATAACAAAGATTGGTTTCATGAAGACATTTTTTTAAAGAGGAGAAACACTTCGCACACACAAAATATCCCCAGAACAAGCCTCTTATAAGATAAAGTTAAATGTAGGCTTGTTGTTTCCTCCAAGCTCTCAGATAAATATTAAATGTGTGTCAGTATGGTGCCTCCTACCCCACCCCTAACCCCTTATGAAATAAATGTTTAGCGTCCAATCAAAATAATTTTTTTTAAAATAGATTCTTGCATGTTTTTTATTTTATTTTAAAAATCATAAAAGTACAGCAAACCCATAGACTTCCTGTATATATCAATGCAAAAACAATTTTGACATTATTTTTACAATATGTATATAGTCAAATTTTACTGAAAAGATATGTGTAAATATTTATATAAGTGGTTGAACATTTAAAACATTTATTAAATCTTAGATTCATTGAAGTGATTTCAGAAACTTAAAAGCACACTGCTGAGAAACATTGATTATGTAAAATGAAATATAGATGCAAAAGTGTCAATTACAAAGTTGTCAGTTACTAAGATCAATTACTAAGATATCAATTTAAAAGACTTCAGTTACAAAGATGTCAATTAAAAAGGTGTAAGTTACAAAGATATCAGCTACAAAGATGTCAATTGCTACACATGAATCAGGAAACAGAATCTCAATCATTCATATCATAATTTTAAATTTCAGATTCTGTTGCGCTGACTCTACTTTATCTAAAAATTGCTTTATATATTTACAAAATATGTGAACAATTTTTAACTGATGATTAATTTTTTTAAAACTGCCTAACTCTTTTTTTTTCCTTAAAGTTTCCTTTGAAGCAAAATTTAAAATTAAAAAAACTTAGTTACAAAAAAATATGAATAGACCACTTATGTGTTATTTAAATCTGCATTCCATTGTTTTATATTCATATGTTACATACTT